GATCTTTTTTAAGGCCCTGCCGGCGAGGCGGCAGCCTGACAGTTGCATCATTTGGGCTCTGCGTGAAAAGCCTCAGAACCCGACACACCTGGTGTCTCAAAACACACACGCACGAGTCCAGTCCGAGCAAATGGGGGGGGAGGCGAGGGAGCCCCACTTCTCTCATCAGCACCAGCAGGAGGGCCGACTGGAGCGACCTCCGAGGGCCTGGCACAAAACCCAGAGTCCTGGCCCCCCAGGCCAGCAAGGACGGCGTTCAGCCTTTCGAGAGCACTCTCCGAGGGGATGCTCAGAAACTGTGCCAAATGGGAGGAGGATTTGAGGACCAGGAAGCAGCCATCAGGAGGCGGCGGCGTCCCTGATCCTGCGCCCAGCATGGGGAGAGGCACGCGGCTGAGTAGCGAGGCATTGCTGCCCCAGTTCCCAAGAGAGCGCCAGCCCCAGGTCTGATGCCCGTGCCTGCAAAGCCTCTCTCGCATTCTGCGTGGAGGAAGCCTGTGGCCACAAGGGACGGGGGAGAGCGGAGGGCAGTCTGTGAAACCCAAACCGCTGGGCCAGAACGCATGCCGGGGGCTCCCTGTGGCAGTCCCTCCAGCTGATCATGTTCTTGACCCTTCCGGACCCAGGCGGGCTTCCTTCCGCAATGGGCAGAGCTGCCCTGCCCTCCCCTTAAATCCCACGATTCCTCACAAGCTCTGATAAATCTCGACCTTCTTCCCACACACCAAGTCCGGCTGGTGGATGGCTTGCCACATCACCAGCATCTCGTACGGCACAAATCGGTGGACCAGGAGGAGCTCCTTGTAATAACAGGGATCAAAGGACTCCAGTGTGGAAGAGGGCACCCTCACGCCCACCGTCCGGATGCCCATATGGGAGGCGGGGGCCAGCCCCGCTTTCTGCAAGCACATGCCCAGGTAGACGTCATCAATGGGAAACAGCTCAATGTCAAGGGATTTCTGGTAGATGGTGCGGGAAGTGTAGCCGGACATCAGCAGGCCGCCACCGCCGCAATAAGGCGGGTAGGACTTGGAGGCGGTGACTTGCTCGGGCACATAATACTTGCTCCACTTCTCGCGGATGGGGCCCACGTTGGTGATGAGCTGGCCCACAAAAAGGTGCTGATCCCCTGCGCCGGGAACACCGAGCAGGTATTGGACAATGTTATCGGTGTTGGCAAAGACGTCGTCGTCCCCGTTGAAGACGAAGCGGACCCCTGGGCAGCGGGTCTCCATCCAGGCGTGGAAAAGCACCTGCTTGAGGGTGAGGTTGAAGAAGCTGTCCACAAAGTGCCACTGCAGGACGTCCCCGTGCTCCTTGTTCTCGAGCCGGAGCAGCTGGCTGAGCTTGTGCCCCTCCCGGGCATCAGCCGCCACGCCAGTCAGGAAGACGCGCCGGATGTGGACCCCGGCAAACATCCGCTCTTGGCCCCACGTTTTGCGGATGATCTCGCGCCGTTCGTAGTTGCCTGGGGAGGACTTGATGGCAAGGAGCAGAAAAACCTCGAAGGAGGTTTCGGGGCTGCCGCACTTCTCTGCGACGTTGAGAAGCAGCGGGAACTCCTTACAGTGCTTGTAACGCAAAAAATCCTTGATGTGGCCGGGCAGCTGCGCAAAGCCGGAGATGTTGGCCACGGAGGCGTTCTCCCGGCACTCGGGAAGCGGATCGGGGGCTCTGGGAGCCACGGTTGTGGGTGGCACGGGGGTCGCTCTCCCTCTGGAGATGGGGCTGCTCTTGTTGGGTTGGAGAAGGAACAGAACGCAGGTGAATCCAATCAGACCGAGCGCGACCGCTTCCGCTTTGTGGCACCAGCGGCGTGGCATTTTGACCTGCAAAAGAAGCAGAGGAATGCGGACGAACTTGAACTCACTGCCACGCCAGCTTCTCTGGTATCGCATCACGCCGGCTCTGAGTGTCAGACTGCCTGGCAGTTACGAGAGTAAAAATATCTATGAGAGCTCACATATGTCAATTCGGGTGTCTTTAAGCTGCTAACACCCCAAACTGTAATTGCCTCCACAATGAAAAAGGCACCCAGGGCTCGTGGAAGCTGACGCGCTGCTTCACCCTCGGGGCAGAGAAAGGGGCCGTTCTCGAGGGAGCCCGAGCGAGAGCCGGACCAGGAGCGCCTCCTCCCTCGCCGGGGGGCCACCCCTTCCCCCCCGCACGCAAACAGGTCGTAGCAGCCCAAGAAAGGAAGGGCGTGATCCGCCGCAGCGGGGTTTCTTCTCCTTCGGAGGGACTCATCTTTGGCAGCACAAACCCAGCAACAGGTTCTCTGCAGCAGTTCTGCCCTCCGTTCTCCAAAGATATTCTGTGGCAGGGAAGAAGGGCAGAAGCAGCGTGGGGAGAGGCTGGCAGAGGGGCGGAGTGGGGACAGCCGACTCCCCGGAGCTTAGAGACCTCTAACCAGTACCGTGGGGATGGGCCAGCCTTGGGGACCTAGAGGCACCGCCGAGAGAGAGCGGTTGGCAGCCAACCCCTAAAAACAATCGGAAGGCACCCACATCACATGGAAAACACGCCGAATTCATCTCCTGTTAAGAGCGAAAGAAACATACACAACAGTACTTAAGAATCTTGATCACTGGTTTGCTATAAGGAGCGTTCCAACTCTTTTTTCCCACGTTCTTGCAAAAAACGAATATCCAAACCGTCTATAAAAAGTACTATAGACTCAGAATCATCCCAAACACATTTCAGTGCTGAAAGCAAAGCATTATGCTGCTAATTAGATGCTGCTAATGCGCCTGGACCAAACTATAAAAGCAAAAGATGTTTTAACAGAATACGTTGCCATTGTGCGGGATTCATTTTGCAATAACTCAAAGGATTGAAATAGTTTATTGCCAATTAGCTGATCTAATTAGATTGGGGCTATTCCAAAATATCGAAGGGTCATTGCAACAAAGTTCTCACTGGGCTCATAATTAGTTTTGGACCTGATCTCCTGGACTGCAAGCCAGACCATGTGCCCCACGATAAGGAAGTCAGGAAAGTGACAGCCCCCCCTGGCCCCGGCCTATCCCACGGCGACGGCTGTGCTGGAGAAGGCCCGGGCTCACGTCAATGCAGTCCCCAGTCAACAGTAAACTCATACAGACAGAATGGTGGGCACACAACATCTGCCAAAGCAGCTAAGAGGATTAGCACATCACAATCCGGTCCCAATGGGCTGGATCTGTCCACATTGGAGGGGCCACTGTGTTAAATTCAGACACCCCAGATTTCCACAGAAGCATCGTTTGCAACACCTCCATTCTTACCTTACGCATCAATTAGGGCCTTAAATGCATAGGAATTAATGGCTTCCCTCTGCACTGGAGGGTTGAGGATGAAATTTATCAACGCAAGACAGGAGAAAAGGAGGCAGGCATTTGACCGAGTCTTTTGAAAACAAAACAGGGTTCACAGAGGAAGTGGTCATCAAAGCAGAAGAGAGAGCAGCAGTGCAGAACTACAGCTGCGGAAGCAGCCGAGGGGAGAAAAGGGCGCTCAAAGCATCGAAAAGGGCTTTTGGGGAACGGCCAGGCCAGAAGACGAAGAACCGACACGCAGGCTGCTGAGGGAAGAAGGCAGAGCAGCGACAAAGGGGAGGCAGAAATGCCCACCCCCCCTCGCCTCTCCCCCCCAACAGACGTGCCCCCCCCAAGCAACAGGGAAGAGCAGAATCCCAGGC